ACTCTTTCTTGCAAGGGAAGGGCAACCAACAAGGGCCACCTTTTTCAAGTCAGAGCCTGACAACCATCTGAAAAACAAAATTTCAAGAGTAGATGGAGATTACTGATCAAGAGACTATCAAATTAAGAGAAATACCAACAAAAAAAATGAAAAACACTGCACATTCAAAATATAAATCAACTTGATGAAACCATGAACTCATAAACTTGAATCCATAAAACTCAAATGTAAATCTTGAAGTTTAACGCAGGATGTCAGATTGTCTAAATGGTTCCTGTACTTCTTAGGGCTGCTGGAATGGTGCATGTAGGCAAACGAAAAGATTGTTTGAAATCATCTTTTATATTCTTTCTTCCTAGGCCTCCACTGTACGATTTCTCAACTCAATCATCAAGCAGTACCAAATTAGTCTCACTAAAGACAATCTGGTGAAGATTAGACATTGTATGTAAAGTGTAGTCCTAAATTGGTAGTGAAATCACATAATTTGTGGTTTCTCCCAGTCAATGTGCTAGAAGATATAGCTCCATATTGATCCCAACATACTTACATCATGGAGTACACTTTCATACTCATAGTACAGCCAACTGAATGCCAATCATGAACCCGTGGACTTCTAAAGAATTAGCATAGCTTCCTTGGCAAAAAAGTAGAACATTGACATAAGCCTTTTCAAACGTATGCGGATCAAAACAACGAATAGTATTTGTGCCAGCTCCATGTTTCATTCATGCAATTTTCCCCCTCAAAGAAAAAAGAAAACACAGCTCCTCTGCTAGTGAAGCAGTGGCCAACACAATAAGTCCCAGCATTGCCCATCCAACTAATAACAGTGTATTACATATCCTTTGGAAAATTGAAAACTAAGAAGTGTAATAATGAGAAATGATGGAAATCCCCATAAGCTCAGCTCCGTGGCTAAAAATATCCCGTTATAAATTGTGTCATTCTCTACTCTCTTTATAATTTACATATTAAAATGTTTAAAGCTTCAACCGGAAAGATTCAGAAACACAAGCCTTCACTCATAGAGACAACTGGGACAATTGATTGCATTGCATCATATGAGATGAATGCTACATTACCAGAAAACAGGGAAAAGAAAACAATTTACCAGGAATTGAAAGAAACATTAGACAATAACTATAAAATGTAGACCTTCATAATCACTTCTTTTTCCTCCAACATGAAAACACACAGAAGAAAATAGAGCTAAGAAATAAATCTAAAAAAGAATGGAATTAAAAACAGAATCATATAAAAATGCTTACTTTGCAATCACTTGGTTGTCTTTGGCAAACCTCTCCACCGCAAACTTTACAAAACCGCGGCCATAGCTATTGTTAAAGCAACTAAAATCCAACCTACCATCATTCACAGACAAGAAATTGGCATCTTTAAAGTACCCTTCTTTGTACAAATGGCTCACAACCACTTCCATATCCTGCGACAAAGCCTTAAACGTATTTGATCTCTCTCTTGTCAACTCTTTCCACTTCCTTTCATCCCCCGCCGCCGCCTTGTTTGTGAACACTTCGTATAAGCTGACCTTAGCCTTAGAATTCTTGGGTTCGACTTCACTCTTCTTTGCTTTGTTTTCGCCATTCGAATTCGATTTGAAGCTCTTTACCTCTTTCTCCAACTCCCTCAAGCCCTTCTTCAATGGGCTGTCTTCGGTTTCACCTTCGCTTTCGGAGTTTTCGGGTTTTGGTGATAGTTCTACGGCCTCTTTGAAGAGAAGGTCTAAAGGCTTTCTCGGTTTGGTTTGGTTTTCAGTCTGGTGTGAGCTATAGAATCTCTGGAAGATGGAGGAGAATGAGAAAGGTTTGCGGGTTATTTGGGAAATGGAAAGAGGGTTTTGGGGTTTAAGGAGAGAGTAGGAGTGGTGGTGGGAAAGGAGGGTTCTGAAGGGAGACATGGGTGATGGGTTTAAAGAGTTTTGGGGGTTTAGGCCTTGGAGGGTTTCGTTTGGGCAAATAATATAAGGGTGGTGCTAGAGGCACCAACTTTGGGCACCACCTTGGGCACCAACTCTCTAATAGAGGTGGAGTCCGCTAATAGAACAGGTCCCACGCTTTATTAGAGAGTTGGTGCCCAAAGTTGGTGCCTCTAGTATTTTCCATAATATAAAGCAAGGGCCTCTTGACTGCAAATTAATCCGACATACATCTGGTTGAAGAATTGAGATTTAAAAGTACTAAAATATTCCTTAAAAATAAAAATAAAAAAAGTGTTAAAACATATATATCGTACTAGTGATGAAATGGGAAAAGAGATGAGCATGAAAGAAGTTGTAAATTCCAATTATGAGTTTTATGTATGGATTTGAAATGACTTGATAGTTAAGTTACGGCTGTAGAAGTTCTCAACAGTATATTAAAAGTGGTTGCGGGCTTAACCAAATTGACTAGAGCAGATGTGCACTCATTTTGCATCCGAGTTCGAATCCCGCTCCCAGTAGTTTAGATTAGATTAAAATAGATTATTGCTTGTATCAACAAAAAAAAAAAAAGTGGGTTTGGACTTCTGGCTTGAGGAAGCCAACCTTTTGTCTATCTCTCAATTCAATATGTCTATCTCTCAATTCAATATAAGAGCTCTGCTATTCAAAGTTAAGAAGCTAAACAAAGTGGATAGGAAACTTATGCAACGGAAAACAAACAACTGCAAATAGGCTTATCTTTTTATCAACAAAAAAAGGTTGCTAAATATTACAACTTTGTTGATAACATAATCCTTTTAGTTCGAAAGAAATAAAAGATAACAGAATCCTTCTAACACCCAGAATTGGACTTTTCAACAATACAATTGTTGCAAAAGCTAGAAATTGCATCTCAGAAAAATTCAACTCGACAAGTCCTCAAACCCCTTTGAATCAACTCAAGTTCCTTGTCTAACTCCTCTCTTCTACACAGCAAATCACCACCATAAATAGTCACCTTATTCAGAACTTTACCCTGCTCTAACAAATACTTGGCCGCTTCCATCTCATCAGAGTCTCCCTTGAATCCCCTTATGGTGATACTCTTGAGGTGGGTGGACAAACAAACAGGCACGGTCTCTGGTGTATTCCATTCATGGTCGAAGTATTCCGCTGAGTATTCTTCATCCTCCGCGTATTCTTCATCCTCTGAGTATATACTACACGCACCCCGACAGTAAAAGAATGAATGAAATGAGCACAGTAAAGAGCGGCATGTTAGTATCACGCAGCACAAGGGGAAATAAATCTTACTTCATTATGTTCTAAGACAAGATACTCCAAATTAGGTGATCTCTTGAGCAGCTCTGTTAGCAATTCCCAATCGTAGCAATTATGAAGAACCAGCTTCAATTCGCTCAAATTATCAAAAGCAGGCACACTACAAGCCTTTGTGAAAGATAGTATCGATCAAACATAAACTCTCGCAGAAAATAAACATTGCTCGTGCACAACATACTATTTCAATCATAAATTGCCAAACTGAAAAACAGGCTTTCAGTTACAAACTACGTCTGGTACAAATAAAGATTAAAAGATCGATGGATAGGGTAAAAGGAAAGGAAAAATGCAAGATGCAAGGATGGTGCATCCCTAGTATAGTTTATATCATGGAAGGAAAGGTGCACACATTTTTCTCATTTGTAAATACAATTCCATTTCTTTATTTTTCGTTCCAAACCTAAACCAAATTACTAAATTCTTTTCTTTCATTCCTTCATTTTATCCAACTTTGAAGGGATTTAAAAGATGGGCCTGTATGCATGCCTCACCCCTCCGATTTTCCACTTTACAAACAAAAGGAATACATACCTTTCCTTTCACTCTTCCGACCAGCCCTACTTTCTTTCCTACAGTCCTCTCTACCAAACAATATGAGAGGAACAAGTCAGGGCATGCTTACCTTCAACGAATAGCTGAAAGAGACAAATACTTAACATTGGAAATTCCTGCCAGAAGCACACTTGAAAGCTTAGAGAAGTCACAATGTAACAATGGCTTTGACCAGGGACTTCGCATTCTTCACAATGTAATTTGACAAACGATCCTCCATGACATCAAGTTTTTCAAGCTTTGGAGCATTTATAGAAAAAGTGTTCTGAGGAGAAAAATCTTCACCACTTAAACTTATTCTTAATGTCTTCAATTCAGGTGCAGAGATGTAAACATCTGCATCATGTTCAACAACTCCATCTATAGTCAAATCTTCAAGTACAGGGCAGCAAGAAATTTTTTTTTCCATTGATTCATAATGAGGATAATAGTCTGTAACATGGAGGAACTTGAGACTTGGGAAACACCCTGACTTAGGAGGAACATATCTAAGACAATCTGAATTTAGCTTCAAAACCACCAGTGTTTTGGACATGAAAAAGCTCTGAGGCAACTCAAAAATCTGGCCATTGGAGTGAACACGAAGATCAAATTCAACAGCATTAAGGTCAATAGCAGTGCGAAGCCAACCATCAATACGAGAGAAATCCTCAACACCGGAACAACGAAGACGAAACTTATGAATGTCGGCTGAGTCACGAAAGGAAAGTACATGATCGACAAACATCGAGAAAGAGTCATCCCTCTCTATCCAGGGATTGTATTCGTCGTCGAAGTCTAGATTGAGAACAGAAGCCCATATGTTCTTCCATCTTGAAGACAGAATGCTGGTTCTCACAGCAAGTTTGGTTGGAAGGAAGGAAAGTATGTGACAAAGAACTGCATCAGGTAATTCACTGATCCAATCTCTAACTACTGCTTGCGGCTTTGGCTTCTTTACCAGTATGAGAGGCTTTCACTGCGAACCCATTTTTGTCACTGTACATTTTGATGAAAAATTAAAAACAAAAAAACAAAAACTCGTAATGTAGGCTTGCAATTCTGTTAATTGATCTTCACAAATATCATGAAATTCTACTTTCTAGAGAGAAGTTTTTCAAGGGATCCAAACAGCCCAAAGAAGAAAATAATCAATGGAACCATTTTTGGGAAACTATATTCTACCTAGAATTAGCAATTGAAAAGAAAGATTATATTTTCTTCGCAGATAAACAACGCAAAAGGGGAAAGACTTGAATCCTTTTCTATTAACCATGTCTCTGTTTTCTCGGTAACCAAACAAATGATAACGAAGTCAAAGGGTTACGAAGAAAAGTACCTGAAACGTTGTGAGATGGCCCAGTAGTACACTACTGGCAGCGAAGAATAAAATCTGTGTTTGATTGCTGAGAACCGCGGGAAAAGCTAATAAGAACAAGAAGAGCATCGAAACGACAGCGTTTTAGCAGTCTCTGCTGCAACTATGAAGTGTGAACCTTGTAGGCTTCTTTCCAATCCACTGTTTCAGAAAACTCACCTTATTGCTCATTCTCTCTCTCTCTCTCTCTCTCTCTCTCTCTCTCTCTCTTTAATTTTTTGGTTTAATTTATTATTAATTTTTTTTAAAACTTAAATTTGACTGTGTCAACGGGGCTAGCTGAGCGGATTGCAGACTAGTGGTCTCAGTTTCAAAACTTATCACGCCTGGGTAGTACTAGTGCGTGTACAAGAAACTACTACTCTCCTTATAGTTTAGACAGTCACTTGTATTAAAATAAATAAATTTGACTCTGCCAAAAAAACTTTTTATTTTTGAAACTGTTTATGTTTGCAATTGCTAGCCTATGTGTAAACATTGTAGTTTTTATGCTAATTTGCAAGTCTTCATAACCATCCCCAACTGAATCTTATTTTATTAATAGGAGTTTGGTTTTTGTGTTATTTTACTTGTCAGAGGATGATTTTAATTTGGAACCTCTCTCAACAAAATGGAAATAAATATATGGCTAGATCAATAGCTATTTTGTAGATTTGGTTTGTTGATTGTTTAAACAGGAAAGGTAATTCTGCTTGTTTACACTTGGCTCCTAAATGATTTGTCATGAGGAGAGGCATCAGAGACAACTTGATGCTCCTACACTAATGGAAATTAACCATCTACTCCATTGCAGATTAACCATCTTCAAAGAAGCTAAACAAGTGGATAAGAATTTTATTCAGTGGAAAAAAAACACTGCAAATTGATTCATCTTAAGATCAACATACTTTCATAGCAGAATCCTTCTAGGACAGAATTGGACTTGCAAAATAAAATCGTTTATAAAAGCTAAAAATTGCATCTTGTATAAATTCGACTCCTCCTAAAACCCTGAATTGGAATTAGTAAACATAATCGTTGTCAAAGCTAGAACCTGCTTCTTCGACAAATTCTACCTGGCAAGTCCTTGAACCCCTTTGAAACATTGAAAATTCCTTGTATATCTTCTCTTTTGCAGGCAGAAAATCACCTGTATAAATAGTCATCTTACGCAGAATTTCACCATTCTCTAACAAATACTTTGCCGCTTCCCTCTCATGCAGGTGCCCTTGGAATCCCCTTATGGAGATAGTCTTGAGGTGTGACACCAAACATATAGGCACAAAGTCTGGGGTATTCCATTTTTCAGCATTGGAGCATCCATCCTCTGAGTATTCTACCTTTGAGGATCCATCCTCCGAGTATTCTTCGTCCGAGCATATACATTCTTCGTCCTGACAATCATTTAAAAGAATGGGAACCTTATAGATCTGCTGTTGATATCACATAACATGAGTAGAAATACATCTTACGTTTTCATGTTCTAAGAATAGATGTTCCAGATTAGGTGATCTCTTGAGCAACTCTGTTAGCAAATCCCAGTTGTAGCAATCATGAAGAACCAGCTTCAATTCGCTCAAATTATCAAAAGCAGGGACACAACGAGCCTTCATAACAGATGAAGTATTGATCAAACATAAGTTGCCAAAATGGAAACAGAATTTCAGTTACGAACACTACGTTTGGTACAAAGAAAAAAAAAAGATCGATAAGTAAGGAAAATTTTGAAGAAATAGAATAGGGGGCATGCAAGTGATGTGTCTTTCCCTCGGCTAAGATTTTCTTCATCTCTCCTACGTAAAAGAGAATAAGGTGATTCCCAAAAGGAAAATAAGAAAATAAGAGATGAAATGAGAATCTCCTCATGTAACTACAGATCAAAATATCATTCATTTCCTATACAAACCAAAAGCAAATTACTATTTAATTTGTTTCATTCTTTCAATATGTCCAACTTCTAAGTGATTGAAAATATCGACCCCTATGCATTCCTCACCCCTCCAGTCTTCCTCTTTACAAAAGAAGGAGCACATATCCTTCCTCTCTTCCAACCATCCCTTCGTCCCATCCTATAATCCTCTCTACCAAACAAAGTTTAAAAGGAACAAGTTAGGGCATACTTACTTCCCAAACATGAGCTGATAGAGAGAGATATTTAACATTGGAAATTCCAGCCAGAAGTGCATTCGCACGGTTAGAAAAGTCGGGCTGTTGATCCGCCTCAGCATGGCTAAAGAGATTAAGACTGGCTTTGACCAGGGATTTTGCATCCTTGAATAAATATTTCGATAAAATGTCCTGCTTGAGATCAATGTTTTCAAGCTTTGGACAATTAATAAGAAAACAGTACTGATGATCATGATCGCCAACCCAGTTTCTATGCGGCAAGATCAATTTTAAAATCTTTAGTTCAGGAGCAGATATCTTGAAATTCAAAACATCATCTGATCCAAGAAGTCCATCTATAGTCAAAAGTCCATCTATAGTCAAATCTTCAAGTACAGGACAGCAAGAAAAAATCTTTTCCATCGAATCATTAACAGGATATTCAACTCTGACATGGAGAATCTTGAGACTTGGGAAACACCCTGACGCAAGAGGAGCATTGGTAATACAGTTTGACCTCAACTTCAATACCACCAGTGTTTTACACATGAAAATGAATTGGGGCAACTCAAAAGCCAGGTCTTTATCTGTTGTTTCAAAACAAAGATCAAGTTCAACAACATTATGCTGGATGGCAGTTCGAATCCAACCAACAATACGAGCGAAATCCTTACTACCACAGGAACAATGAAGACAAAAATTTTTAATATCAGCTGAACGACGAATGGAAATCACACGCTCAACAAACGTGAAGAAACCAGCAGAGGTAGACTTGTCTTTCTTTTTGTTGAAAAAATAAGACCTGGCTTCTTCTACATATTTGAAGTCTAGGTTGGGAACAAAAGCCCATATGTTCTTCCATCTTGTAGAGAGAATGCTGGTCCTCACAGCATATTTTGTTGGAAGGAACGAAAGGATGTGACAAAGTACTTCATTTGGTAATTTACTGATCCTGTCTTCAACTCTTGGTGGAGGATTTGACTTCTTATTTGGTATCTTCCCACCCATTAGTAAGAGACCCTTTACCCTCGAACCCATCTTTATGTCCCTGTGCATTTGGATAAAAAAATTAATAATTAAAACTAAAAACTCCTAATTTATATGTCTCTGTTCAGTTACTTAGAAACATTAAACTATTCATGTATGAAAAAATATGAAATTCTATTTTCTAGGGAAAAGCTTTTCGATGAAAACAGACAGACCCGAGAAAAAAGATCATCAACGGAAAATTTTCTGGAAATCATATTCGATCTAGAATTAGCAACTGAAATGAAAGATTACATTTTCTTCACAAATAAACAATGCAAAGGAAAAGACTTGGAACTTTCCATGAATCATTTCTCAGTTTCTCGGTAACCAAATAGATGGTACGGAAGAAGCCAAGGGGTTATGAAGAAAAATTACCTGAAACGTTCTGAGATGGCCGAGTAAAGCCCTAGTGAGAGCGAAGGGTAAAAGCCCTGCTTGGTTGTCGAGAAACGGCGGGAAAGGCTAAGAAAATTGTAACCACAGGTACGACGCCGCTTCGACCATCTCTGTTGCGACTTGCGACTATGAAATGAAAATGTGAGACTTCTGTAGGAAAACTAGAGCCTTATATGCATCTTCTCTTTCAGTTATGCGTCTCTGGCTCTGAGGATTTGTTTCGTTTTTCAACTCCCTTTTGGGCTCTGTCTCTTTGGGCTTTCATGCGCATTATTTCATTTAAGCGAATAATGTTTTAACATTGAAATGAGAAATACCATTAAATTCGGAAGGAGTTCGTATTTGATAATCAGGAGTTCGTATTTGATAATCTTATTCTGACTAGAAAGACCTGTATAAAAAATTAAACAACAATTAATTTGAAGGAGCTTAATGCTCCTACATTGCAAACCTTCAATTCCCTGTATATCTCCTTCTAAACAAAAGGAAAAGCAAAATATAAATAAAAAGTGGATAAGAAGTGTACAAAATACAAAACAAACATAGGCCAATGTATCTTAAGATCAACAAAGGTGTTTCTCTTATTTACAACCTTGATAACAGAATCCATCTAAAACCCAATATTGGACTCGCAAAATAAAACAGTCAGATAAATTCAACTCGACAAGCCTTTGAAGCCCTTTGAGACATTGAAAATTCTTTGGCTACGTCATTATAAATAGTCATCTTACGCAAAACTTGACCATTCTTTAACAAATACTTAGCCAATTTCTCCTCATGCGGGCATCCCTTGAATCCCCTTATGGTGATAGTCTTCAGGTGTGATTTCAGACAAACAGGCACAGATTCTGAGTATAAGACATGTTTCGTGCACTTTTCGTGCTCGTAATCCTCAGCACATCCCCGGTACTGCAAAACATGCATGAAATGAGAATAGTAAAGAGATGCACGTTGGTATGACTTAGCATCAGTGGAAGTGCATCTTACTTCTTTATGTTCCACAACAAGATACTCCAGATTAGGTGATCTCTTGAGCAACTCTGTTAGCAAATCCCAGTTACAGCAATCATAAAGAACCAGCTTCAATTGGCTCAAATTATCAAATGCAGGCAGACAACCACCCTTCGTGAAAGAAAAAAAAATACTGATCAAACATAAACTCATGCATGAATGAAACATTTACTTATGCATAGCATAACATTCCAAATCATAAATTGTCAAAATGGAAGACAGGCAGACTTTCAGATACAAACGCTACTTTCAGTACATAGAAAACATATACGCATCCTAAATAAAGTAAAGGGAATGCAAAAGGTGGCATGCCAGGGATGTGTTTTCCCCTCTACAGTTTAGAATATCATGAGAGGAAATGTCGACAAACTTTTCGTGAGTTTTGTATGTAAAAGAGAATAAGATGTGATTTTATTTCTTTATTAATTCCTTCCTAACCCAAAACCGAATTACCATTTATTTCTTTAATCTGTCCAACTTAGAGGGATTCGAAAGATGGGCTTGCATGCATGCCTCAACCCTCCAGTCTTCCTACAGATGAAGGGAACACACATCTCTCCTTGTTCTCTTTCAAGCTACCCTGCTCTCTTTCCTATACTCCTCTCTATTAAACATTTGAGTAAAGGGAGTGAGTCAGGACATACGTACCTCCAAAAAAGGAGCTGAAAGAGACAGGTACTTAACATTCGAACATCCGGCCAGAAGCGCAGTTGCACAGGCATGCAGGTGATGTACAAAATGGTACCCGAGATCGACATTTGCTTTGACCCAGGATTTCACGTTCTCGAATAGATAAATATCAAGGCTTTCAAGCTTTGGGCAATTTACAAAAAAAGTGTGCTGAATATCTTCAACATAAACATGGTCCAGTTCCAATTCCAATTCCAGTCTCAACCTCCTTAGTTCAGGCACAGAGATGTTGAAATTCAAAACATCATCTAATCCAAGCAGTCCATTTATAGTCAAACATTCAAGAACAGGGCAGCAAGAAAAAACCTTTTCCATTGAGTCATTATCAGGATACTCAACACTGACATGTAGGAACTTGAGACTTGGAAAACACCCTGATGTAGGAGGAGTGTATGTAATACAATTTGAATTCACCTTCAAAACCACCAGTGTTTTGCACATGAAAACGCATTGAGGCAACTCCAAATGCTGGTCAGTACCTTCTTCAAGTCCTATTTTAACATCAAGATCAAGTTCAACAACATTCTGCCTAATGACAGTTCGAATCCAACCATCAATGCGAGAGAAATCCTCTTCACGGCAGTCACAATGAAGACGACATTTTTTAACATCTAACGGGTCACGGCAGGAAAGTACACGATCAACAAAAGTGAAAAATCTAGCATGGGACTTAGAATCATATTCATCTTCAAACAAAACAGAGTCATCTCTATATTCGAAGTCTAGATTGGGAACAGAGACCCATATGCTCTTCCATCTTGTAGACAGAATGCTGGTCCTCACAGCATATTTTGTTGGAATGAAGGAAAGCATGTGACAAAGAATTGAATCAGGCAACTCACTAATCCTATCTTTAACAATTTCTTCACGCTTTGACTTCTTTTTTAGTCTGAGATGCTTTGATTTCGAACCCATGTTTATGTCCCTGTACATTTTTTCAAAAAAATTAAATACTAATAATCTTAATGCACGCAGCACACCCCGTCTAGTTACATAGATACTTTAAACCATTCATTTACTTTCACAGCTATCTACGCATGAAATTCTACTTTCCATTGAAGGTTTTTCAATGGAAACAAACAGAACCAGAAAAGACAACAATTTTCCAGAACCCATATTCAATCTAGAATTAACAACTGAAAGAAATATTATATTCTTCACAGATAAACAACGCAAAGGGGAAAGACTTGAAATTTCCGTGAATCATTTCTCAGTTTTTCTGTAACCAAACAGATGGTACAGAAGAAGCCAAAGGGTTATGAAGAAAAAGTACCTGAAACGTTCTGAGTGTTAACTATGGAGAAGAAGAAGTGACGAAGAGAGAAAAGTAAAGCTCTGTATATTCTCAGAAATTGTATTTTTACATTATGATGAAATGAACCAGACCCAAGCTTATATAGCTGTGTAACGATGACTTCTTTACTAAGCTAACCTTGCTTAACAGACTTACTAATCACACTACTAAGCACGTGAAGAGCTAGCAAACTTGCCACCTCAGCAAGGACACGTGTCAATAGTAACATCAGCTAACACTGAGATAGCTGATTAAGGCCCTAGTGAGAGGGAATAGTAAAAGCTCTGCTTGGTAACCACAGGTACGACGCCGCTTTGACCATCTGTGTTAGTGTGAAGGCTTCTTTGAGAAAACTCGAGCCTTTTATGCACTTTTCTCTCGATAATAACAGCTGTTTGGGTCTGGCTTTGAGCATTTGTTTCGGTTTTTGCACCCCCAATTTTTTTCATTTAAACAGAGAATTTTTTAACATTGGAATAAGAAATGAATACCATTAAATTCAAGGGTTAAATAGTTAATGGGTTTTGCACAAAAATTCATCTTAATCACTAAGGAAATTTAGCCAAATTGGTCACTGTATTTCCCCCAATTTACAATTTATAACTATGTTATCTTTCTTTAAGTGCAGTTTTTATTTTTACTTTTATAAAAAAGTACGTTTAGTATTGAGATTTCAGATGACAAAGAGTCGTAATCAAGGTGATTAAACACTAAAATATATTGGCAAGTTGATGATTTTAAATTAGTTTGGTTTGGCTTTTTTATTGACAACTTGTTGATTTCAACTTAATGAAAAATAACAAAATGTCTATAAATTGTAAACTTTGCGGCTATGAAATGAAAATGTGAAATTTCTTTAGGAAAACTCGAGCCTCATATGCACCTTCTCTTTCAGTTAGGCCTCTTTTGGGCTTTGCCTCTTTGGGTTTTTACGTTCACATTATTTCATTTAAATGAATAATTGTTTAACATAACGTTTGGGATAGTGAATAAAATGAATAGCATTTGATAATCTTATTCTGACTAGAAAGACTTGTTTAAAAAATTAAACGACAATTAATTCGAAGCAAAGTGGATAAGAAATGTACAAAGTACAAAACAAACATCGGCAAATCGATCCATCTTAAGATCAACGAAGGGGGTTTCTCTGATTTACAACTTTGATGACAGAATCCATCTAAAACCCAATATTGGACTAACAAAATAAAAACTTCAGATAAATTCAAGTTGACAAGCCTTTGAAGCCCTTCGAGACATTGCAAAATCTTTGGATAAGCCATTACAAATAGTCATCTTACTCAAAACTTGACCCTTCTTTAACAAATACTTAGCCACTTTCTTCTCATGCGGGTATCCCTTGTATCCCCTTATGGTGATAGTCTTGAGGTGTGATATCAGACAAACAGGCACAGATTCTGGTTTTCTCCATCGATGCTCTGAGTATAAGACATATTTCAAGTAGTTTTCGTGCATTATGTAATCCTTAAAACATGATATGTCCTGCAAAGTATGAATGAAATGAGAATGGTAAAGAGATGCGCGTTGGTAGGACTTGGCACGAGTGAAAGTGCATCTTACTTCTTTATGTTCCACGACAAGATATTCCAGATTAGGTGATGTCTTGAGCAGCTCTGTTAGCAAATCCCAGTCATAGCAATCATGAAGAACCAGCTTCAATTCACTCAAATTATCAAATGCAGGCAGACAGCCACCCTTCGTGAAAGATAAAATACTAATCAAACATAAACTCATGCATGAATTAAACATCTACTTATGCATAGCAGCATACTATTGCAAATCATAAAACACCAAAATGGAAGACACTACTTTCAGTACGAACACTCCTTTTTTTATATATAAAAACAAGCGATAGTCTAAACTACAAGGGGAGGGGGACATGCCTGCTAGGTATGTGTTTTTTCATCACGAAGTTTAGACTGTTATGGAAGGAAATGTCTACAGACTTTTCAGTTGCTTTATATTTCTTAATTATTTCCTTCCTAAACCAAAACCAAATAACCATTTATTTCTTTAATCTGTCCAACTTAGAGGGATTCAAAAGATGGGCTTGCATGCTACCCTGCTCTCCTTCCGATACTCCTCTCTACTAAACATTGAGTAAAAGGAGCGAGTTAGGGCATACTTACCGCCAAAAAATGAGCTGAAAGAGACAGGTACTTCACATTGGAAAATAAGGCCAGAAGCGCAGTTGCTCCGTTAGAAAAGGCACGCTCGTGACGCACATAATGGCACCAGAGATTGACATTTGCTTTGACCAAAGATATTACGTTCTCGAATGAATAATTTGACAAAATATCCTGCTTGATATCAAGGCTTTCAAGCTTTGGGCAATTTATAAAAAAAGTGTGCTTACTATTTTGACCAAAACAGCTTAGGTTGAATTCCAATCTCAACGTCTTTAGTTGAGGCACAGAGATGTTGAAATTCAAAACATCATTGAATCCAAGAAGTCCATCTATAGTCAAACATTCAAGAACAGGGCAGCAAGAAAAAATCTTTTCCATTGAGTCATTATCAGGATAATCAACACTGACATGTAGGAACTTGAGACTTGGAAAACACCCTGATGTAGGAGGAGCATATGCAATACAATTTGACTTCCATCTTCAAAACCTCCAGTGTTTTGCACATGAAAACGCATTGAGGCAACTCCAAAATCAGGCCACCTTCATGATTATTTATTTCGACATGAAGATCAAGTTCAACAACATTATGCCTAATGATGGTTCGAATCCAACGAGAGAAATCCTCATCGCTGCAGTAACAATGAAGACGAAATTTTTGAATATCTAACCGGTCACGGGAGGAAAGAACACGATCAACAAAAGTTAAAAAGAGAGCATAGGACTCAGACTTATATCCCTCTGTCCACGGACACAAAACAGACAAAGCTTTATATTCGAAGTCTAGAATGGGAACAGAAGCCCATATCCTCTTCCATCTTGTAGACAGAATGCTTGTTCTCACAGCATATTTTGTTGGAATGAAGGAAAGTATGTGACAAAGAATTGCATCTGGTAACTCACTGATCCTATCTTTAACACTGTCTTGACGCTTTGGCTTCTTTTCTAGTCTGAGAGGCTTTGATTTCGAACCCATTTTTATGTCCCTGTACATTTTTTCTAGTTAGAAACTTTAAACCATACCTTCACAGCTATCTTCTAGATTAACAACTGAAAGAAAGATTATAAGTTGTTCACAGATAAACAACGCAAGGGGCAAGACTTTACAAAGTCATAGGGTTATGAAGAAATTCATCTTTTTTACCCATTATACTCATGACATTTTAATAATTAGCACCACTTCTACCCCAATTCCATATATAATTTAGGAAACAACTTCAATAGGAATCCGGAATCTAACTCTCCTAAATTCATATGGTTTAATAAACAACTTTAATAGGAATCCGGAATCTAATTCCCCTCAATTCAACTCATCCTCAATTCAATTCCTCTTAATCCAATTACGAATTTATAAACATGCCATAATAGATTTGGTGGGGCCTAGAAATCCTTGTTCACCTCTACATTTGTCTTTATTGTGGGCCTGGCTTTGCCTTTGTGTTATTTCGGTTTTTGGCTCCCTTATTGGGCTCTACCGTTTGAGCTTTCAAATCAACATTAAAAATCAGCCCAAAAAAACCAATTTGAAACTCTTCTAAATAACCTTTAACTACATGGTGTCGAGCAAGTGGGGTATAGCTCAGTTGGTCGAGTTATTTCACTTATATTCTTATGGGCAGAGGTTCGAAACTCCTAGGCACCCAATGAATATTTCCCCTCCCCCAATCACTTGTAAAATAATAATAATAAAATACATAGAATTGATTATTGAGGCGATACACAATCCCCCTCCAATAAAGGCACAAAGTTGTTAACATCTCTAGGTTTAAATTACAAGCAGTAAAAATTTTAGACTACACACAACAACACAAGGCCTCCCAATGCCCTCAAAACACCAAGTTGGAAAGTCATTGACTCTGAGTTTGGAAAGCAAATTATCATTTTTCTAATGACAAAATGTGCTTAACCAAGCCCTCCAAGGATTGGTATGAAGAGCCACCTTGTTTGATGCAAACATTTGCCTTCTCCATTAGCTGGAAGATTCTCTCTCTAATCTCTTCCCCTTCTTTCTCCACCATTATTTTCCTAACTGTTCTTTCAATCTCACCTCTTTTCATCCCATGCTCCAACTGCAACCCTACTTTCCAAACATCACTTACACATCTTGCATTCGCCATTTGATCACTGAGACATGGCATGCAAATCATAGGGACCCCCTCACAAATACTCTCCAATGTAGAATTCCAACCATTGTGAGTCCAAAACACTCCAACAGCTGGGTGGGCCAGCACCTCCTTTTGTGGAGCCCATTTCACAATGTGGGCCCTCCCGTTTAGGGCCTCTATGAACCCACTTGGCAGTGGTTCTAGCCACTCCGACCCATGTACTAATCCGGGTCGGATCACCCACAAAAAGGGCTGGTTGCTGTTGGCTAGCCCCCAAGCCATCTCCAAAAATTGGGCTTCACTTATTGTAGCAATGCTTCCAAAGCTGACATAGATGACAGATTTTGGTGCTTGGGAGTTTAGCCATGGAATGCAGCTTTGGTCTTGTGATAATAAGCTGCTACTTGAAGAAGAAGACGAGGCTTCAGGGAAGCACTTGTGAAATGGGCCTATTGGGAAAATTGGGATGGAGAATTCTTGGCGAATTGTGGCCAGTGAACTTCCTTCAAGGTCTTCAAAAGTATTGAAAATGATCCCATATGAGGCCTCAGTTTCCTTCTTCAGGCCTGACACTAGTTCATAGTATTTTTCTGGGTCCATAGTTTTGAGCACCGGAAGGTCTTTGACTTTGAGAGGTGGAAGCTCTATAACTGGTTCTTCTAGTCGAGAATCTAACGATGCCAAGATAAAAATATACTAATAAAAATATGAAGTAATTGAAAGTATAGGAAATTGTTGTCACCCAGAAATTTAAGTAATTGTCAAGTGTAATAGCATATGACAATGCATGTAGATTTTGTAGCAAACAGCCAGGGAATTTGGACTTTCTCTTTGTCTGGATATCTTTGTTTTTAACTGAATTGTTTATTAAAAATCTAAGGACTTTTTCCATCTTAGTTAAATAGGTTTGATATAGTAAAATAAAAATACAATATAATTCTAAGACTTCTAATAAGCAAATTAGATTTAAAACAAAGATCGATAAAATTAAAGCATCTAACTCAAAACCCATCGATACTGATCGGATATGTCTAACATCTTACGTACTGTAGTGCAAAACTTGACATTCTTGGTATGAGATTTATGTACTTTGAACAAAGATAAGCAGAGGATCTGGATCCACAATGAAATATGTAAAGAAATAAGCTTAATAAAAAGCCACACCTTGTATGGGGAGGTAACCCTTTTCCAGCAGAAGTGGAAATGCAGCATAAGCAACAAAGGAAAAGGCAGCTGAGGTCCTTAATAGAATCCTTGGGAGCTTAAGGCTCTCAGCAACAGGTTGAGTGAAGTGAAACAGAAGGTCAGAGATCAAGCAAGCAACAGGCTCCTGATTATCTGATAGCAACCTAGCCAAGCATTCTCTGAAGGGTCAGAACACTTAACATTGAGAAGAGAAATAAACGCCAAAATATCGCTTGTGGAGGCCTCAGCTTGAGATAAGGCAACAGGGATTGAGTGGAAGGTGAAGTGTGGATAGGTTGAAGGGTTGAGAGAGTTGAATTGGGTGTGGATGATGGTTATGGAGAATCCTTTGTGGTGAAGAAGGTTGGCCAGTTCTAGCATGGGGTTTAAATGGCCTTGAAGGGGCATTGGAAACAGTATCAATCTCAAACCCTTCCTTTGCTCCATGTTAGAATTTAGAGGGAGCCTCTGTGAGATTTCCTTGGCTTTGGCTTCTGATTCTTGTCAATTCTCAATGTTAGGCATATGATCAATGTAAATTCCATGTGGCCCTATGTCCCTTAACTATTATTATTTTGCCACATTTGTCTTTTTTGTTTCAGAAGCATGCATGAGAGTAATATTCTCTCCGGCGGAATAAGTATAAAATGTGACACAAGAGTTGCGAAGATTACAGTTAATTAAGACATTAAGATATATAAAATGTCTAATTATATTTGTTAAACTGCAATTAACGTTAGAGAAACAGTAACTCTCCATTCTCTATTATTTCAGTTTCAGACAAACTTGATAGAAAAACATGGTTCAGAAGGAATCTCTTTCCTGCTGGCGGGTGGAAGGGTCGGGCATGATGCAGACCAGTGTTTACCTGTGGTCAAACAGATACCACAATTCTTGAGAATCGCACGTCCTTCATCTTGGCCGCAACAGGACCCTCTAAAGAACCAACCACATACCCTACAAACTACATCACAACCACTGCCAAGAATTGCATTCTTTGGGACACGATCCTTGTAAGGACATTGTTGCCAAATGTGCTCACCCACCTTTAAACAATACTCGCATTCACCTATTTGCAGTTTGTAAATCTATTATTAGATACAACAAAAGCAATAAAAATAATTATTTATAGAAAAAATAAATGAATGAATGAGGATGAAAAAACCCAAATATCAGTCTTGTGAGCACATGATATTGATATTGAATAACAAGAATCTTTGATGAAATATATGTAAAATTGTAAATAGAGAAGCTACAGACGAAAGGGGAGGCAAGGGTTTGTTAGGTGGGAAGAGGAGCTATATATATATATATTTTTTTCTCTCTCTCTAAAATCAAAGGCATACCAATATCAGGACGAGGGAGCTGGAAGAAAGGAATGTAGGTGCCATCAGGACCAGCCTTTGTTTCTTCAGCTTTGCTACCTATTTGCAATTATATTGTTAAATACAAAAAAAAAAAGGTGACGATGTCAAAGAAGTTAGAAGGAATGAGATCTATGATCCATAAAAAAATAACTATAATATTAAATGTTGGTTATCCAATATGCACACACCAAAATAACTTGGATGCATAAATTGTCTTCAAAAACAGAATTGAATGCATCAACCAAACTAAAAGAAAAAACAATTTCTTTTTTTCCAAAATACACAGAGTCCAAGCAAATTCCAGATAATCTTCCTCTCAAACCCTAAAAAACAAAAGTCAAGAGCATACCAGGAGCACTAGGACATAAGAGAGGAGAATAAGTGTGAGCAGCAGCAGCCTATGGTTCTAATAAATAAAGGGCTAGTAAGGTATAAAACTTTTAAATAAGGCCATTTTACTATTCTATTCTCCCATTCAAATACTGCAAACATAAAAAAGCTTTTTTAGAAAACTGGTCTAAAAACACTGAGTTCAAGTAATTAACCATTTGTCTACCAACAATCCAAAATCAGTTATAGCTTAATTTGATCAATTAGCAAAGGCTTGGCACCATATTCTTCAATTACTTCCCAAAATTAAAAGAGAAACGTGCAACACAAAAAATTTGTCGAAAAAATACACCCAAATAACCAAATGCGCAACGAACTCAAAACTAATCTCCCTCTAAAAGTATTTTCAAATCAAATAGAACTAAAATACTGTACGAGACGAAATTCTATACATGCACCAAAAAGTAAATATTTTCGATGTAAAAAGAGAAATTGTCATACACAAAAGCTGAGACATAAAATTTAAAGCCCAAGTAATTAAATTGCAAAAATTCTTCGTTAGAAACCCTTAAATTAAAGAAAAAAAGAAAATCATACCCATAGGCCAGCCGAGTTTCAAAAGTGGAGACGTATCGCGGTCAAGGGGGACCATCTCTGGTGGGCAAAGGACCTTTCCGCCACCTTTCTTATTGACGACAACCGAATTGCCACAAATTGACAAATCGCTGATGCGGGGGATATCTGGCGCGAAAAGTTCCTTTGCGCCGCGGTCCTCAACGAACCCCACCGACTGGGCATCCAATTTCTGGCAATCTAAGGATGAGACAAGGTCCATGGATGAGTCTGTTCGAAAGAGAGTAATGCCTGCCTGCAGAGCTTTGGATTTATTAGGGTTCAGGCTTCACATAGAGATGAGATTGTAAGTTGTTAGATTAAAAAAGAAGGTGGTTTTTCAATAAAAATTAGTTTTATAGCAATAAAAGTCAAGTCCGTCATACAACTTAGCCTAGATAAATTCTTTCTTAATCTTTATTATTTTAAGACGCTCCCAACGTTGATTCTTTCTTTATTTTTTTTTCTATTAGTGACCTAGACATATATGCATATCAATAAGAATCATTGTTTCTACAACTCGAAAGATGGGTTTCTAGCTCTTCTGACAGCAAAACCTAAATATGCTAAATCACAGCAGAATTGCATATATGCCTGGGTAGTCAAATTAAAATTCACAGAAAAACCAAAATATGTTTTTGAAGCCAAAGAGAGAATTGATACCTGAGAATAAATCAGAGCCCCAAGTACACCCTCACTCAGTAAACGAAGAACGCTAAGTAAATAACCAAAATAAGAAAATAATAAGAAATCCTGAAGAAGACTCTGTACGTAAATAACCAGAAGAATAAATAGAAGAAGACTTAGGGTTACCAGGCTGCGGTTTCCTCCTGGTAGAAGGTGAAGGCTTTGTTTGTTTGTTTTGGTCGTAGCGTAGCGTGTGAAGAGAGTTAGGGTAGCTGGACAAGAAAAAGAGCGCCCGATAATTTTGGCTTTTCCCTGTTTAATTCCACAATCTTTTGAATCGCCTGCGGGTACGTAAGAAGCTGCACCTATTTGCTATGCTCTCACCTTTTCTTTCTTCTTCTTCGTTTTACATGTATAGAATAACTCTCTTTTTTTTTTTCTCTGTAGTGAAGGGGCCACACACTGCACTTTCTTGCACACATAGACGGACTACTCTGGCTTATGAGCCAAAAAGACATAGCAACTGCAGTAGTACCTCCTTTTTTTAGCGAACTACAGCAGACTTTTTGGTTTTGTTTTTGTTCTTCTCTTTCTGCACTGCATCTCAGCCATCACGAAACTGCACCTGTGAGCACAAGACTGCCCTTTTTATTTTATTTATTTCCTTTTCTTTTTGTTATTTTTCTTGTCAGTGAAGACTTGACTCTTTTTATTTGCCTGCAGCCAATCTCTTTCGCTTTCTCTCCTGCCGCGTCGAAGTAACCACGCCAGTAACAAAAGGTAGCAATATGTTTCAGCTTTCTCTTGTTAATGTATTTGATGTATCATATATATATATATATATATACACACACATACACATGATGTATGTCTATGTTTATGTTATTATATCAAAGTCTAACTATTTTTTTTGCTTTATAATTTGCTCTTAGTTCCGTGATAGTATATATGATCTAAAAGTTTGACATTTCATATAGTTGTTTTTGGACAATTGTTGGCTGCTGCTATTAACTCGTTGAAAATATCTTTTATTTTGGACTTACAAAACAGCTTACCTTTCTTTTTCAACAAGAAATTGGTGATTGTAGTCGGGTTGCACTTATGTTTTGCAATATACTATTTGTTGCACCAATGTACGTACACTTGTCCACATATGCAGTGGAACACGGGAATGACTGAGGCATATTCTATGATCAACAAAAAATTGCAGAACGTACGTAGTTTCAGAACATGCATACTTGGAGAAACCTAGGGAGAAGTTGAAGGTGCGTATGACATTACCACTACTTTACAAAAATACAGTTTATTTTCCTTTTAGGAGGAAGGATGCTTGCATAATTTACTGATTCTTTAATTTGGCGTATCTTCGTAACGTTATATAACATTTGTTGTCGTCTTATTTTCCCGTATTTGTTTTCCGAACAGCCTCATACAGATGCATCTTCCTTTCGTTTTTTTATTTGTTAGTGTAATGTCTTTAATATCTTTTGAATTACTTCATTCTAGTTGCCTAAATTATTTATTTATTTATTTAGAAAATACAAAAATACTCAATAAAATTTAAATTTTTACACAAGTAGAGGGATGGGGCACAACAAACATCGCCATTATTTGTGGTCAAGAAATCTTTGTTGGCGTTGATACGAGGGGTACAAGTGGTGACAAGAAAGGATTTATAGAGAATGAGGAGGCTACTAAATTATGTCTAATCAATTATTGCAACATAGTAGTTGCCATGGCGGGAGATTCCGCACAAAGTGTAGAAGTGTTAATGGAGGTGAATAAAGAGTTAAGAAATGCAATGCAAACAAATGGGGCAGTAGATGACAACATCCATCTTGCGGCAAATAAAGCCCATGAGTATATTGGCAAATGGGAATCGGAGTATGGAAAGGAATTTCAGGGGTCTATTGTTTTAGCTGGATTTGAGAAAAAGGATGGAAGCTTTTATCCTCATAAATATGTCGTTCGTAGTTCTAGATTTGTCCACACATCCAATGATAATGACGCAATTTTGAATGGATCCAGTGGTGCACATATTTGGGATTATTTTTTGACTTGGAGGCAAGAATATTTTGAAGGCGTATTAGAAAAAATGAAAAGGGCTTTATTAAATGCATCCCTTTTTGATGACATGAGTGGTGGATTTCTGCGTGTGGTTAAGTTGACACAATCTAGCTTTAATACCGAATATTACAAATCGGTTCTAGAAGCGCTTTTTGATCATTGCGATGAATTCGCGGCGTGTCTTTCCCATTCATTGATCTTTTTGTGGTACAGGCGTGATCAGGACTATACACGAGTTTAATGTGCTTGTGGATGTTGTGTTCAAAAAAAAAGTTGCTAGGTTATAACTACAATGTTAGGGCTAAAAGGAACATTCGTTATACGACTCGTACATTTTCATCGCTCAGTTTGTGATGAACCATATGAGGAAGTGAGAAGAAAGCATGAAGTATTTGCTCAAAATCGTCACATGCGACCGCAACATCTTGATGACCATGATGTGCCTAGTCAAGTTCAAGCTCTACCGTGGATTATAATTGATGAGCTTGGGACGTCTCCTATTTTGTTTGGTAAGCTAACACATGAGTTGGTGGGAGCTTTACTGCACGTGTAGCCCCTTCATCTTGGGTGTGTTATTAGTTCCCTTGCAAAACTCCCCAAAAGTTTGAAATACTCAACCTGTTAATACCCAACATCTAGCCCCTTTCATTGATTGATCTTTTGTAATTTCTTTTTTCTTCACTCATTGGACTGGAGCTGCACCTCATTTGCTGGAGATATATCCTTGAGCTTTTCAATATAGAGGTGCATGTAAAATCACTCGTTTGGAATTAAATCTTCAAGTAAAAAAGCTTATTTTAATTATTCTCTTGGACCAACCAGAATGACTTTATATATTTTGGGTTTTAGTATGAACACGATCTGTGTTGTTGGCAAATTAATGCTTGGCTTTGTCTGTGAAAAATAACTATAATATTAAATGTCGGTTATCCAATATGCACACACCAAAATAACTTGGATGCATAAATTATCTTCAAAAACAGAATTGATTCAACATTTGGGGCATAATATATAATCCTCTATACACCAACCAAACTAAAAGAAAAAACACTTTCTTTTTTCCAAAATACAGAGAGTCCAAGGAAATTCCAGATAATCTTCCTCTCAAACCCTAAAAACAAAAGTCAAGAGCATACCAGGAGCACTAGGACATAAGAGAGGAGAATGAGTGTGAGCAGCAGCAGCCTTTGGTTCTAAATAAAGGGCTAGTAAGGCATGATGAAACATTTAAATAATGCCTTTTACTATTCAAATACTGCAAACATAAAAAAGCTTTTTTAGAAAATTGGTCTAAAAACACCGAGTTAAAGTAATTAACCATTGTCTACCAACAATCCAAAATCAGTTATAGCTTAACTTGATCAATTAGCAAAAGTATTTCCAAATCAAATAAAACTAGGATATTGTACGAGACGAAATTCATACATGCACCAAAAAGTAAATATTTTCAATTTAAAAAGAGAATGTTTCGTACACACAAAAGCTGAGACACAAAATTCAAGCTCAAATAATTAAATTGCAAAAAATCTTCGTTACAAAACCTTAAATTAAAGGAAAAAGGAAAATCATACTTATAGGAACCCTTCAACCTTAACCTAATGCCAAAGAATTAGAACTATTATTTCTTATTGAAAATGGATTTACAATTACATGCCTTAGAATGAGCATAAACCCACTAATATAATCGCTTCCCAATTAAGCCAATAACAACTGTTAACTAACAAAACAAATTGCCAGTTAACTAACCAATTGCCTAACAAACCTTGCCAACCCAGCTAACATACAAAAAGACCATATTAACAAGCTGATAAGTTGATTTGTAGTATACAATTTGTTATTTGTAGTGGTATGAACAGTTGTTAACTTCCAGTAAGTGGTATGAACAGCTGTTATATTGTTCATACCCCGCAACTGAGTTGATTTATATAACATAGTATTAACAGTGTACTTCTATGACATAATATTAACAAATTTTCAGTAACAAAGCATGCTTTATATTTTGCTCTATATATGATTGTGCATTTGAAGTTTATGATATGCAAAATGTGATTTTTACTAGGTTTATTTGTGTATAAATGTCAAGATTTCAGATAGACGGGTCAATGACCCATGTAACACTGATATTGCTCCAAACTTAATCACCTACAAAGTCCAGTGCGATATGTTAGTTGGAATTTTCCCGCTGAAGGAATTATCAAACAGCCCGAGATATTGCAGGCTTCGTAGACGACCCATTTCTTGAGGAATTTCACCACTGAAGTAGTTGTTCATCAGGTTGATTTTAGTAAGATGAGTAAGATTTCCAACAGAAAGCGGTAAGGAGCCTACCAAGTTTAGAGAACTAAGGTCCAAAACCAAGACTCTTTTGGTGGGGCATGTGATAGGTAAAGGTAAATGCCCAGTAATCTAGGCCCACTCAATCAACACGTTATGATATCATTTAGGGTATTTAGTCAAGTTTCTTATGTGGAACTTATATTCTTCAACAGTAAATAATCTTTCTTACCTTATATATATATATATCATCATCATCATCAAACGGGACATCTATCATCCAATCAATCACACAGACTTTAATATAAACCATCATACATCGATCAAGAATTACAACAAAACAGAAAAGCAAACACAAGATGAAGAATACATAATATGAACTGGGGGAATTAAAAAAGGATGCAAAAAGAAAATAAAACAAAAAAGAAAGACTATTCTTAGCTAGCCACAGCTTTTACAAAAGGATTCAGTTACTTTGGAATTTCTGCTTCTCTAGGCATTACTTGATTTTTAATTTGAGTCAGCATATACTACAATTCCAAAAATGTTCGTGAGTTTAGAAACTCAAAGATATACAAAATATACAAAATAACCATTGAATTTGTAACACAGAAAAGTTATGATATATAGAATAACAAACAACAGCTATTGAATTTGTAACACAAGAGTTGGAGTTGGAGAAGATTACAGTTAATTACAAACATTAGAAAAATAAAATGTCTATTTATGCTTTAAATCATAATTAACTTTAGAGAAACAGTAGCTACTCCATTCTCTACGATTTCAGACAACGCTTGACAGAAATACAATTCTTGAGAACCGCACGTCCTTCATCTTGGCCACAACAGGACCCTCTAAAGAACCAACCACATACTCTACAAACTACATCACAACCACTGCCGAGAATTGCATTCTTTGGGACACGATCTTGGTAAGGGCATGGTTGCGTCACGTGCTCACCCACCTTTAAACAATACTTGCATTCACCTGTGTGCAGTTTGTAAATCCATTATTAGATACAATAAAAATAATTATTTATAAAAATTTATAAATAAAAAAAAAGAAAAAAAAGAAGAAGAATGAGGATGACAAAACCCAAATAATAGTCTTGTGAGCACATGATTTTGAATAACAACAAATCTATAGATATTATGTCGTAAGAAGATTATAAAATGAATCTTTGATGAAATATATGTAAAATTGGTAATAGAGAAGTTGCAGACACAAGGGTTGAATGAAATTGTCTGGGTGTGGAAGGGGAGGCAAGGGTTTTGGGGAAGGAGATAGGAGGAGGAGCTAAATAAATTTGTATTTTTTTATCTCTAAAATCAAAGGCATACCAATAGGACGAGAGTGCTGGATGAAAGGAATGTAGGTGCTATCAAGATCAGCCTTTGGTTCTGATTTCCGTAAAAGGATACGTAGGCACCTTGAGGTTTGACTTGGGAGGTTCACATTTTTCTTCAACAGGTTCTTCACCTTTTTCTTCAACAGGTTCTTCACCTTTGTTCCCTGTTTGCAATTACATTGTTAAATACAACAACAACAACAACAACAAAAAACAAAACAAAAAAAGGATGATGATGTCAATGAAGTTAGAAGAAATGAGATCTATGATCCATAAACAAATAACTATAATATCAAATATCGGTTATCTAATATGCACACACCAAATTAACTTGACTGGATTCAAATTTTTGACATACTACATATCGTCTAATTACACCAACAAAACTAAAATAAAAACACTTTCTTTTTTCCAAAATTCAGAGAGTCCAAGCAAATTCCAGACAATCAATGCCATAACAGGAGCACTAAGGCATAAGAGAGGAGAATAAGTGTGAGCAGCGGCGGCCTTTGGTTCTATTCTCTCGTTCAAACATAAAAGCACACCATCTTCAAGTATTAACCATTCATCTACCAGCAATCCAAATTCAGTTATAGCTTAATTTGATCAATTAGCAAAGGCATGCCACGCCATCTTCTTCAATTACGTCCCAAAAATAAAAACGTGCAACACAAAAATTTTGTTGAAAAATACACCCAAATGCTCAACAAACTCAAAACTAATTTTAGAACTAATTTTTCTGTAAAAGTATTTCCATATCAAATAGAACTAGGATATTTTACAAGGCGAAATTCTATACATGCACCAAAAAGTAAATATTTTCAATATGAAAAGAGAATTTTTAAAGTAATTAAATTGCAAATAATCTTCATCACAAACAATTAAATTAAAAGAAAAAGAAAAAGCATAACGACTGGGCAGCCGGGTTTCAAAAGTGGAGACGTACCGTGATCAAGGGGTACCATCTCTGGCTGGCAAGGGACCTTTCCACCACCTTTCTTATCGATGACAATCGAATTGCCACGGATTGATAAATCGCTTATGCAGGGGACATCTGGCCAGAAAAGGTCCTTATCCAGCCACACCGACTGGGCATCCAATTTCTGGCACTCAAGCAGTTCACAAGACTGGAGACAAATTTTGGTTAGAACGTTAACTAAAATTTTCATGACGAAGTGGCCAACTGGCCTAAGTTCAACAAAAAGAAGATTGTCAACTAAGACCAATACTTAGAAGAAAAATAAAGCAAAGCTACAAAGCTAAAGAAGATAAACAAATCTTCATCTACTACGAAGATTCAGTATGCGATTCCCTGTCTTAAGCTCTAGTCATGCCAGCCTCGCCTTCCGCGACCAACTCGAGTGTCTGCTTATCAACTACGACCACTTACTCGACAGCTCTGACTTTTTGGTGTTCTCTTGGAATGTTTCGAACTTTGACAGCAACTTATCATAGCTTTGAGACAAGTCAGCAAACTCGTGCTCGATACGAAGGCATGCCTCATTTCGTTCACTAAGGGCGGCAACTAAGGAATCGAGCTCGCCATCCTTTAAAGCAAGGGAGCTTTTCAACAGGGATACATGTCTCTTCAAGTCTAAAATCTTCATATTTTGGCGAGTTTGCTCAGTTGAGAGTAGGTCAGACAAAGTGGCATTCTTCTTCTCCAGCTTTTCAAACTCAGCAGAAAATGGGGCATTAATGGACGAGCTCTGGATAGCATCAGAGGCGAAAATCACTTCTTTTTTAATCAAAGGAAGAGCTTCATTGTTCTGCTCTTCTGAATGAAGACTTTGAAAAGCACCAAGATCACTAGCTTGTCGCAGATGATCAACCAGCCCAGGACAGGTAGACGACCGTGCCAGGAAGTTAGTCTTAAACAGGTTAGACACGCACACATCCCTAGTAGGGCAAGACTTGGTCTTCTTAGGTAGATCATCGCAACCTTTAGCATGAGCAGACAGCTCTTTTGATGCTTGGAACGCCTCGATCCTAGCCTCTAAGATAGTCAATAATGTTGCATCAACTCTACCCTTGGTTTCTTGCAATTCGTCCAGTGGCGTGCACTTGCCAAGCGTAGTAGCAGCCGTTTCAGTTCCATCCTCATCATTTGACTGATGCAGATGACTCAACCTTCTACTAGAAAGGTCAGTATCTCTTTGCCTTTCGGCAAAAGAACCAAGTTTGGCACATACATTTTTGCAGGGCAGATCACCGATCTTGAACTTCTCAACTGAAGACTTCTCAACTGCTCTACCCTTGGTTTCTTGCAATTCGTCAAGTGGCCCACGCTTGCCAAGTGAAGTAACAGTCTTTTTAATTCGATCATCATCATTTGACTGATGTAGACGACTCAAACTTCTACTAGAAAGGTCAGCATATCTTTGCTTCTCGGCAAAAAAACAAGGTTTGGCCCAAACATCTTTGCAGGGCAGATCACCGGTCTTGAACTTCTTAGCTGAAGACTTGAGCATTGCGTCCCTAATATCTCGCATGTCATGCACCTTCTTGCCATCATCATCTATAGTGTACTTGACCCTGGTAGATGACGAATGAGCAGCTCTCACTTGAGTCTTCTCTGCATACGAGACCTCTTTCGAAGAAGGCTTAATCACAACATAAGGAAGACAGTGTTTCTTCATCAAACTGGATACATCTCTTGCTTGTGAGGTCTTAACTTCATCCCTGGAAAGCTTAGGAGCAACCTTCCTCTTTCCAGAAAGTTTGGTCCAGGACTCATCCAGCTCATTAGGGTGATCATCCGAGTATGGGCCATACCGCTTCCACCTTTCAATGTCCCTGGCAGGGGGCAGACCACCTGCTTTCCTTCGATGCTCGCTCAACAGCCAACGCCACTCTCGAAACTTCGCAGGGATGTTCATGGCTTGGTGGATCTTAGCCATATCCGGTTTGAGATCAATCTTTTTGCTGATATCGTCACCTGCAAGCAGAAGACGAAAGTCAGACAGTCATACATTCAAAAAATTCAAGTAAAAATGAAGCATAACAGATTGTGACATACCATGACAATAAGTGATGGGAACTTGCGGACCATCGTCTGCCACGCCTTCCCATCTTCCACTGACCTCCAGCACATCAGTACTCCATGCATGATCATCGTCACTAAGGCTGTCAAACATCTTCTCTTTGTGTGCACGAAGTTGAGCGTACTTCTTACAGCGTCTCACTTCGAAGAAGTAGAAAAACTCCCGCAAAGTTAAGCCCAGGTCGAAGAAGCGATTCAGATTGTCAAAGCAAATTATAGTACAATAGACATTTGGAGTACACTGACTAGGAGCACAACCAATAGCATGGAACACCATTTTGAAGAACTTTGACATGGGGAACTTAAAACCCAAGGAAAAATAAAATGGGCGAAAGGTGATAATCCTCGCGTCCGGATCGTTTGGGTCCTCACGAGCCACATCATCAGTCGAAGGCTCCGCCAACCTGATATGCACATCATTCGGTATGGCAGAAGCAAAACGGGCGCGCCACTTTTGGAATTGTGCCTCGGTCGTGATGGGATGCAAATTGGCCACGAACCTCTTCTTATGAACCTGAGAACCGCCCCACAAATACAAAGGCACTTGTGAACCCAACGACCGACTTCCCTCATCAGACGACATGGTAGTTGAGCAACTGCAAAAATGAAAGAAAATCACAAGTGAAATCGCAAGTCAAGAAGAAGTCATGTATTTATAATGGTTGGGCATCCTTGGTCAAGAAGGAATCAAAAGCCTACTCAAATTAAGAGTCCAACTCCAACAAAAATTATTTTTATAGCAACAAAAATTAAGTGCGCCATAAAACTTAACCCATATAAATTCTTTCTTAATCTTTATTATTTTTAACATGCACCCAATGTCGATTCTTTCTTGATTTTTTCTATTAGTAACCCAGATATACATGCAGATCAATAAGAATCATTGTTTTTATAACTAGAAAGATGGGTTCTTGCTCTTCTGACAGCAAAACCAAAATATACTAATTCACAGCAGAATTGCAGATATCGGGTAGTAAAATTAAAATTCACAGAAAAACCAAAATATGTTTTTGAAGAGAATTGATACCTGAGAATAGATCAGAGCCTCAAGTACACCCTCACTCAGTAAACAAAGAACGCTCAGTAAATATCCAAAATAAGAAAATAATAAGAAATCCTGAAGAAGAAGAAGAAGACTCTGTATGTAAATAACCAGAAGAAGAATTAGGGTTACCAGGCCGCGGTTTCCTGTTTGTTTTGGTGGGGTGGTAGCGTAGCGTGTGAAGACAAGAAAAAGAGCACCCGATAATTTTGGCTATTCACTATTTAATTCCACAATCTTTTGTTTCCTTTTAGAGTAAAATTTTAGGAAGACTTTGCAAATGTAAAATAAATTTTAAAAGTCTAAAAGTTAAATAGTGGAAAGTTTTTGCTCCGATCATCCAATCAATCACATACAATCTTTATTTCAAATCATCATAAATTGACGGAATCAAGAAATACAAAGTTTATTGGCAAACAAAATGAAAAGAAAAAAAAAACATAAAAAACGAACTGGGGGAATTACAAAAGGATGCAAAAAAGAAAATAAACTTTGAGATTTCTGCTAGTCACAGCTAATACAAGAGGATTCAGTTACTTTGAAATTTCTGCTTGAGGTACTTGATTGGTTTGTGGAGGGGGCCCTGTGGTAATTCCTGGCCTGTACTCATCCGTCACAGCTTCCGTTTTAGGTGTTCCATTGGTTTGTGGAGGGGGGCCTTCAGTAATATCTCGCCTTATAGGTCCAGAAGCACATCTTCTAAACAAAAGAAAAAGAAATAGAAAAGGAATTATTAGTGTAAGTAATTATATGTAAAATGAAACTTAAAGGAATGAGAATTACATGTTTCGTGGTTTGAATTGGACTGGATTAATGTGTAATGGTCACTGTTTGGTGAACTTATCAATATTGAGACTTGAACTTATTAAATTGGACAACAATTCAACATATTGTGTCTTGTAAGTCCCATAGGGTGAGACTCATAAGGACTGGTTTGGACTCAACTCCGATTCAGTCCAAATGGGGTAAGAAATGCCGACCTCCTTACTCATATGACCTTTAATTATAAATAACTGTGTAAAAAAATTATGGTTTTCAAACTCTAAAGAAAAGGGGAAAATTCACCACCAAAAGATAAAAGAAAAGATGTGGGAAAAATGACTGCATAGGAAGACCAATCAACTTACACAGTCGTAAATTTCCGTTGTATGGTCTTCAACATGGGAATTCGGAGCATGGCCTTTGACATGAAGCCTCTAACAACAGCCATGTAGGTAACTAATTAGAGATATACAAAGTTTGCTATATCTTCAGTTGAGCCCGAGGGGATGAATTATAGGCTGCTACTTGGAATGATTTGTAGCAGATCTTGGGGTGGCAACTAGCCAAGTCGACTAATAAGACAATACGTAACAAATTAAATGACCAGGAATAGTGACTTGGTTGTTGAAGAGATTAATTACTTGATATACGTACTGATCGTTAGACCG